ATACCCTCCACACTAAGCAGAAAATGCTGCATAACCAAAAACAGCTGGTGAGGGAGAAGCCCACTTTCCCACCATTGGCATTTGGGATATCAGTGTTCTAGATGTGTGTGTAAGAAAGGACGAGAGACATATTTTTTTCTGGTATTGCACCCTTTCTCCTTATCCAGGTTTGTTTGTTTGCTTATATTATAATTATGTACCGCCTTTATTTTCCAAGGATCTCAATGTGGTGTACATGGTTCTCCTTGCAATTTCATCTTCACCCGGAACTGATGCTGAGGAACCTGCCTCTTCTCTATGCAAGCTAATAGAGGTATTGATCATGAGTGTCCTACCTGCGGAATCTTATAGATATCCAAAACAGTGGCCACATAAAAGGAGATTTCAGAATCAAGTCCCCCAACGATCCCAGTCAGATTATTTTCAACATCACATATATAGTTAGGGACAAATTTCTCCACAAAGGATAAAAGCAGCAGTGTGGCGAGATATGTGTTCCTTGCATTGTTATAGCTGTCATATAAGTGAAAGCCCAAGGTGATATTGGGTAGGATGCGAGGGTCTTCATTGATCTGCTTGACTGCAAATGCCAAGGCCACGATGTGCTGGTAAAGCTTAGGCAACACCCTAGAATGAGAGTTGCAAACTGTATCAGCAGGAATTTCAACAGATGTATCCTTTTACACATCAACACAGTAGTTAATCATATTGAGTTGGGGGGCGGGTTACACTCTGTCTACTCTACTATTGAACAGTTCTTATCAGAAGAAAGTTCTTCCTGATGTTTAGTTGAAATCTCCTTTCTTATTTCTTTAATACACTTATTTGGAGCAAGAGAAAATAAGTGTGTTCCATCTTCCTAGTGAGAACACTTGAGATGTTTTTTAATGGCTATCATATTTCCCCTCAGTCTCATCATAGCTAAACATACCAAACTCCCTCCACCATTCCTCATAAGGCTTGGTTTCCAGACCACCTTTGTTGCCATCCTCTGCATATGTTCCAGCTTGCTAATACGTATCCTTCTTAAATTGTAATGATCAGAACTGAACACAGGACTCCAGGTGACCAAAGCAGAACAGAGCAGTACTATTACTTCCTTTGATCAGAACACTACACTTCTGTTGATGCAGATCCCTTGACCTTGACATGTGGATGTACTACTGGCAAGTCAAGTGTTCCTCATCTTAGATTTGTGCATTTGTCTCTACTGAATTCCATGTTGTTACTATTGTCCCATTTTTCCAATCTTTTAAGGTTGGGTTGCTAATGTGGGGCCAATGGGACGTCTTGCTGTACACACCTGAGGTCTTTTCCTGACACTTACAGTCGCTGGTCTTTCCCTGCAGTGACCTCTTTTTCATTAAGCAGTGATTGTCATTGGAATACACTGAATTCTATACTTCATAATAAGTACCTTTCAGTGCTGAAACAAACCTTAGCCTAGATCAGAAAATGAAACATTCAGCTTCAGAACAGGTTTTTAAAAATTCATTCTTACTAACACTCTAGTAGTTTAGATAAATATAGGGATGTGGGTGGCGCTATGGGTTAAAGCACAGAGCCTAGGACTTGCCGATCAGAAGGTCAGCGGTTTGAATACCCGTGGCTGGGTGAGCTCCCGTTGCTCTGTCCCAGCTACTACCAATCTAGCAGTTCGAAAGCACGTCAAAGTGCAAATAGATAAATAGGTACCACTCCGGCAGGAAGATAAACGGTGTTTCCGTATGCTGTTCTGTATCGCCAGAAGTGGCTTAGTCATGCTGGCCACGTGACCCGGAAGCTGTACGCCGGCTCCCTCGGCCAATAAAGCAAGATGAGTGCCGCAACCCCAGATTCAGCCATGACTGAACCTAATGGTCATGGGTCCCTTTACCTCTACTTTTAGTTTAGATAAAGTCTATCAAAAATGGCTTTTCAAAGGGCTCTCCCACATACACAAACATGCATATGTTTCAATACATTTATATTTATTTTCATATCAAGAAATGGGAGCTTCTACATTATTCTCTCAATTCACAAGACATTCCTATGGATTTTTGCATCAGCATATGTCCCACTGAAATGCAAAGTTGTTATTACTAGGTAAATGGGTAGAGGTTTGCAGCCGTAGTCATTACTCTCAGGTTGTGACTCTAGGTCTGATCGTTTCTCTGTTGTAATGGATGAGTGACTTAGTTCTTACACAAGCTCTTCAGGCAGCGCTGGTGGGGGTCCCTCAGCGAATGTTGCTGGAGAGGAGATGAAGCCACCATGGTAAACAATGCCACCAATGTTAAAATCTCCTGGCTGATAATACGTGTGAAGTGGATGGTGTGGACCTTGGAGCCTGCATTTCTCTATGTGAGCCAGACGTACATTGTAAAAAATCAGTTCCAGCAGTAAGAACACTAAAACAAACATTCTCAATACGAAGGCAACTGTCTGTTCTACATGGAACCCATGATTTCTCTGGCAATATTATAATTAGCTACTGCAAGATAAAAATTGTCTCATTTGAATGGTAATTAAGTTTCCTGAGACGATGCAATCTAGGAGTGTGTAAGATCAGACTTGTGGATCCCAGACCCTATTTAAATTATTCTGGTTAATTTTAGTATCCTTTGTGTTCCTTTCGCAAGTGGCCACTGAAAGTCTGCAGGGATTTTTGAGGAGCAGCAGATTTAATTATAGCCCTGTTAATAACCAAGCTGGAATTTAGTTATTTATTCAATGCTTGTGAACCCCTGTGGAACTGAAGAAGAGAATATGTTTGTCACATATCCAAAACTGTTGTGTTTAATTCCCTTTCAGAAGATAATAAGGGACCAGTGGTGTATTGGTGAAGTTAGAAGTTAGGAGTTCATAATAGAAGACCTTATAAACAATGGAGACTCCAAAAAGTAGTATGGTGTTGTGAGCATCTTGGAATTTGGCTGAGTGGACCTGGATTCACATCAACCACGTGGCATGAGAACAATGGCTGCTCACCATTTTTCCAGGGGCGACAGTTGCGTTCCCTCACTCTCAGCCTCCTTCCCCGATAGCCTAGGCACACACATTTGCTGGCCTTTGGAGGGGAATACTCCTTGGCCGGTGGATCTCAAAAGGGAGGGGTCTTTCCAACCCAAAAGGCAGTATAAATGGACCACTCACTGGTGCCTCCTGGAGGGAAGTGCCTTGCTGGCTGTAGCCATTGGCTGCTGTCTCGTCTGGCCTGGCAGTGAGGCTTAAAAGGGTGGTTGCCGGAGGCTCTCGCAGCAAGGCTGGGTGAAGAGCGACACCCTCCCACCCTCCCTTTTTATTTCCATGTTTTACTGTATTTTTATATCTGCTGTAAGCCTCTCAAAGTGGCTGGAGAAACACAGCCAGATGGGTGGATTATAAATAATAAAATTATTATTATTATTAGTCCTACTTCCTTCCATTCCTGTCTCCATTTGAATACCTGGACCTTCTGCAAGGGGGGCATAATCTTACAGACACTCATTAACAAGCATAGTTACCTTGCTGTATAGCAGTACAGATGTCTACTCAGAAATAAGTGTTTTAAGATTTAATGGGCCTTACTCCCAGACTGAGTACAAGCTGGCAACGTAGGCTCTGATTTATAGTTGAAACTAAGAGAAAGCAGTGGCTTTGTGCCCTTTAAGAGCTGTATAACAGGAATAAATTCAGAGGTTAAGCCTGGATTATAGAAAGCTGAGGTCCATTATGGGAATACAGATGCAACCTGAAGTTTCTCTGTCCTCTTTCATTCCACTTTCAATCTGATTAAGCTCTGGTTTACTTGTATTCTCCAATCATGGTTAGGAATAATCAATTTTATCTGCTCATCAAACATTTGCTGAAGGATGCCAACAGTCAGTGGAAAGCCCAACAATATACTTGTCACATATATAATACACATTTGTATTAAGAATATAGTGTTCTGATCCATCACTTGTGTTGGTGAAAATAAAACTTTTCAGTTGTGGCTTTATCGAATGCTTTGCCCAGTGAACTGTGCATGGTTCTTTGTTGCCATCTTGTCCAAGCACCAGGGCAGAAATCATTCACACTTTCTTATCTAGTTCTCTGAATTTCACCAAGGAGGCCTGATTCAGACAAAATCTTGGGGGGAGGGAACCCAATTCAATGGGGGGTATATTATTTCACAGTACATAGATAAACTATGGCACTCACTGCCATAGGAAACAATGGTGGAGACAGTGCATTTGCTTTTGGATACAGCTTGAAGGTTTCCCAGTGGAATCCGGTTGGTCAGTGTGAGTACAGGCTGCCGTACGCGAATGCGCCATTAGCCTGACTCAAGAGGATCATCTTACATTTCTACAATCTTGAGTATGGATAGGTTGATGATGAAATCTGACTGTGAGCAGTACAGAACAATAGACCTGGAGAGTATGGTGGTTATAGGGTTAACCTCCTTGATGTTCTGTATCTGGGGGGAGGAGCGTCTACACGACGCTATTGCTATCATCACAGGCTTTGTTGTGTGAGCTGCTTTCGGTTTTAGTCTGAGAGTGCTTTCTGCACAGAGAGGATGTCGGAAAGCTCTGAAGGTGAGTCACTGCTGTAAATAAACGCTTTATAGATAGAAGAAGCTGTCTCTGGACTTTATTACTCCTTTTTCCTCACATGGAAGGCAAACTGCTGCGTCTCTGAATATTTCCTGCCTAGGTCATTTTTTCCTCAGAGTGTCCGCAAGAGGAAACAGCTGGACGGCAGATTTATTTACAATAGGTTATGGAAGCCAATGTTTTATTGCCAAGTGTGAGAATGGAGTACAAGAAAGGCTGCCAGCTTTGAACTCCTGCTGGAGAGGACAAAGGCAGTTCTGAGTTCACTGGTGAAGCAGAGGAGCTAGCTGAAGGAAGCATCTTCGAGGGGCTGGCAGCTGAAACAGAGTGAGTAAGCTTTAGCCCTGGGGGGAAGATGGCTGCAGATCAACAGTGTGAACTTTTACTGTGCCTTTTGAAAGGCTTAATGGCTCAAATTGGGAAGACTGGGCAAGGCGGATGTACTTCTGGCTGGGAGGAAAACAGTTTTGGGAATGTACACAGGCTGACCTAGTGCCTGCTGGAGCCGGTGCAAATGCTGTTGAGATAGAGAGGGCAGTGTGCGCATCGAGGAGGGATCAGAAAGCCATGTCCCATGTTGTGATGGCTATGGAATCATCACAACTTCCTCACATAGACGGTTTGCGAACTTGTCACCAAATTTGGTCTGCTTTGGCTAGAATACACCAAAGAACCGCAGCTGGGGCAAAGATCTATGTCATACGTACTCTGTTTGAGAAGAGGCTGTCCCCAGGGGAATCGGTATGTGACCACATTGTCCAGATGCTGACTGTTTTCAGCAAGCTGCGTCAGCTCAATGTGCCCTTCCCAGATGAACTTAAGGCTTATGCGTTGTTAAGCTCCTTGGACAGATGTTATGAGAACTTAGACCTAACGATGGAGATGATGCCGCTGAATGATCTTACGTTGGAATATATAAGTGGGAGATTGATTGATGAGGAATCGAAATGCCAGAGGGCTGTGAAAGAGAGCACAGGCTGCAACCCAAGAAGGAGTGGAGGGGCAGCCCGGAGCAGTGAGGACTGTGTGAAAGCTTTTGCTTCCAAAAGATGTTTTCGTTGTGGAAGCAGTGGACACCTGGTCCACAATTGTCCTCTAGAGGCCCAGGAATGCAAGGAATGGTGGCTGGAAAGGAATGTCAACAAAGCAGATAAGTGGCAGTTCGAGAACTGGTTCCCAGCAGAGACGTGGGAAACAAGGAGGCCAGAGTGAGAAAGGCAAGGAGAAGCCTCTCTATCACCTCACAGCATCAATGGTGTCTCTGGGAAACAGCAAAGGCCCCAGTCGGGGGAACAGCGTCTCTATGGCAACGTTGGAAGGCAGCCAAAGAGCTACTTTGTCTTTTGTTGTGGACACTGGAGCCACGCATTGTCTCATGCCCTCTGCTGGTTTGCTTCGAAACTGCAAGTCTGTGAAAAGTGGACATTTTGTGTCACTGGATGATGGCTCCAAGAGACAATTAACTGAGACTGGTTTTTTGTATTGTTCTTTTATAGATCATGAAGTGCAAGCATTCGTGATTCCTGAGATAGCAAATTGTTGTTTATCTGTGTCTGCCCTCGTTGCTGACGGTTTTGATATAATGCTTGCTAATAACATGTACTCTTTTTTCAGGGATGGCAAGAAGCTGTACAATGCTGAGTGCAGAGATAGACTGTTCGTGGTGGAAATGCCTATTGCTAATGTAGCTGTTGCAGAGCCCCCTGAAGAGGCACAAGTGCAGTGCGCAAACGTACCACCACATGACAATTGTTTACACTTGTGGCACATGAGATTTTCCCGTGTTTCCTGGTCTTACATTAACAAAGCACCTGAGAACACGGTGGGGTGCAAGTTTAAGGGGTGTGACAAATTCCTAGATTGCAGAGAGTGCAAGCAATCAAAGGTTACCTGTGATGGTCTGGGAATCTGATTCAGAAGCTGAATCTGAGGAGTCCCAGCCTGCACAGGAGTCCCCGCCTCCAGGGCTGGCTGAGCTGGGGCAGGGGCTTGAGTCTGAAGGGCCTGCACCTGTGCCGGATCCTCAGGAGCAGACACCAGATGCATCCACTCTGGCTCTGGAGGTGATTGAGGATCCATTGCCTGCAGGTGCGACTCTCCCAGCCCTTTCAGGGGATGGTGAATCTGCCCCTGGGTCCAGTAACCCTCCAGCCTCTCCTGAGCTGCAGAGGCTCAGGGCAGAGAGGCAGAGGGAACTGGGTTCTCTCAGGAGGAGTGCTCGCCTTAAGGCCAGGAGAGGCGGGTCACTTGTGGGCCAGGACCACCCCTGGCCTCAGAGGAGATAAAGGCCAGTCAGCCCAGTCCCAGGTTGCGGGAGGAACGTCATTGGAAACCTGCTTCTGCCAGCACCCAGACCTGTTCTTCCGGAGTTCCCAACCACGCCCGGCTTCTTGCTTCAGACCCCACTTCGCCCTTTGTGGACTGTCTCCAGACCCTTGACCCAGGACCAGACTCTGACCACGCCTCACGGTAACCTCCCCCCGGGACCAGCACATTACCACATGTACTTATCCCAGGTCAGACAGGAAGACCAGCAAACCCTTTGAGCTGGTTCATGCAGATTTGTGTGGTCCCATGCAGGTAGCTTCTTTAAGTGGATCAAAGTACATTCTTCTGATCATTGATGATTTTTCGAAGAACACGTGGCTGTTTACAATTTGACACAAGAGTGAAGCAGCTGCACTGATTAGAGATTGGATCACAGCAGTAGAGCTGCATTTTTCCACTAGGGTTGTTTCATTTCAGAGTGATCATGGAGCGGAATTCACCGGTTCTGCGCTGCAAAATTTCTTCCAACAGAAGGGATTCAGCCACAGGCTAACAGCACCACACAGTCCCCAACAGAATGGTGTTGCAGAGCGTAAAAATAGAACGCTGCAGGAAGCCGCTAATGCCATGCTTTATGACTCTGGTCTCCCACAGCATTTTTGGGCGGAGAGGTATAAAACAGTGTGCTTCATACAGAATAGAGTGTACAATTCAAGTGTAGGGGACATGCCTTATTTTCTGCTGCATGGGAAGAAGCCCAAGGTGGATTTCTTTTGTGTGTTTTACTGTGAGGCTTAGGTCCACATCCCAAAGGCCAATCAGAGAAAGGGTGAACCAAGGTCCAAGAAGATGATCTTTGTAGGCTATGAGCCGGGTTCCAAGGTGTGGCATTTTGCATACCCCAGTGGCAATCAGTCTCGGCTGCTTATTAGCGGAAGTGCTGAGTTCTGTGAGCAAAATGGGTGGAAAGGCATGCATGGGAACCCAGATGTTCTTTCAGAGCAGTTTGACTCAGATGAGGAAGAAGAGGAGGAGGAAGCTGAATCTGTTGCTGGGGAGCAGAGTCCGCAGCCACAGAGTTCAGAACAGGAGTCCCCAAGGGAGAGGCTCAGAACCCCTCCAAAGGGAAGTCCCAAGACCCCTCCACAGTTCTGTCAAGTTTGAGCCGTCCTTGCCTACAGGTCCAGTTGTGAGACACAAAAGGTGCAGCAGGTCAGAGGGGGAGGTCTCTGACACAGGGGATGGTTTGGCTGGCCCCAGTGAGTCAGAGGGGGGCCCCAGAGTTTGCGCTGAGGAGATCAGCGAGGTCAACCAAGGGGAAGCCACCTGACAGGTATGAAGCCACTAGTGTGTGGGTTGGTGTGGCTAGGTGTGAACCTGAATCCTTTGAGGATGTTCAGAAGTTGCCTCAGGAAGAAGCTAGCAAATGGCATGAGGCGATGCAGAAGGAGATGAACTCAATGGAGTCTATAGGTGTGTTCTCCCTCACACATTTGCCGGCTGGCAAACAGGCTGTTTGCTGCAGATGGGTTTATCGCCTTAAACCCACAGAGTCAGGAGAACCAGAGTACAAGGCAAGAGGTTTCATGCAGAGGAAAGGAGTCCATTTCACGGACGTGTATTCTCCGACTTCCAGAAGTGAAACTCTGCGCATGCTCTTAGCTGTTGCTGCACAAAGAGGTTGGAAGGTGAACCATTTCGATGTGGATGTCGCCTACTTGAACTCAGAATGAATACTTGAAAATCAATAAATACTTGAAAATTCCATGGCCTGCAATAGTACAGTTTCACAGATCGCATTATGCTGAAAGTGTGAGACAAGTTTTATCACTGAGAATTAATGCTAGATACAGATTTGCTTACTTGAATATTTTGACAAGAATTGCTCTGAGTCTTCTTGTCAACACATGCTACAAGAGAATAATGTATGTGGAAATGTATGATTGTTTACTTCAAAGCAAATAAGTCAATTTTACAAATGTATTTTCAACTGTGGGAATTTGGACTCTAGAAAAAATTATAAAAGGGAGCAGCTGAACTTATATTTCCAATTGTTCTACTGTAAACACAGATAAAAACACAAAATACAGCAGATTACAGGTTTTTAATTTCTTTAATTTTTCTTCCTTATTAGCTGTTCTCTATTGTTCAGCTCAGGCCTCAGAATGATTATGTAACATTTGGGGAAGAAGATGCAACCGAGCAACCCACCACCAGAGGCTAAGATGGAGAAGATCTCCACAGCTACCATATATTTTCCCTTGGTGCTCAGGTAGGAAGGAATAAACGACAGCCAAACACTGCAAAAGACCAACATGCTGAAAGTGATAAACTTGGCTTCGTTGAAACTGTCTGGTAACTTCCTGGCGAGGAAAGCCACAGCAAAACTTACAGTGGCCAGGCAGCTCATGTAGATGAGGACACAGTAAAACATTGTCACAGACCCTTCATTACATTCTAGTATAATTTCTTCTGTCATTGAGTGCATGTCCACATCTGGGTATGGGGGAGAGGTTGCCAGCCACACAGTACATATCCCTGCTTGAACTATGGAACAGGAAAGGAGAATGGAGTGGCCTAGTTCTTTCCCCACCCATTTCCTCATCCTGGATTCTGGTTTTGTAGCCATGAAGGCCAAAACCACCATGAAGGTTTTTGCCAGGACACAAGAAACAGCGGTTGAGAAGATGATACCAAAAGCTGGTTGCCGGAGGAGACATGTGACCTTCTCAGGTCGGCCAATGAAGAGCAAAGCAGAAAGGAAGCAGAGCAGGAGAGAGATGAGGAGAGCGTAGGTGAGGTTTCGGTTGTTTGCAATGACAATGGGTGTGTCATGGTGCTTCATAAATGTACCTAGTACCAGAACTGTGATCAGAGAAAGGAAAAGAGAGAAGCAGGCTAAACTGATGCCCAAAGGTTCTTCATAAGACAAGAAGCTGATATCCTTGGGTAGACAGGCATCACGGTTCCGGCTTGGATAGTCTTTGTCTGGGCATTTATTACAGTCATTCATATCTGGGGGGAAACAAATATATTAGGTCACAGATTTCAGTTTGCTGAAATGTTTACTTTCTGTCTGAGAAGAAAAGAGCTCTGTTTAAATCCAAGTACATGTTTAGTACAGTCTTATGCAATGCAATGTGGTATTGTTGCAATCTAACCTTTCTCTGTGTCATGGATATGCCACTAAAGCACATGAGACCGTGAGGGGAAAAGTACAGTGGTACTTTGGGTTACATACGCTTCAGGTTAAATATGCTTCAGGTTACAGACTCCGCTAACCCAGAAATAATACCTCGGGTTAAGAACTTTGCTTCAGGATGAGAACAGAAATCGCGCGGCGGCTCAGCGGCGGCGCGAGGCCCCATTAGCTAAAGTGGTACTTCAGGTTAAGAACAGTTTCAGGATAAGAATGGATCTCCAGAATGAATTAAGTATGCAACCAGAGGTACCACTGTAGTCCAAAATGTTTAATTCTGCGCAGAAGGTTCAACTGGGAATAATTAACCTAACTAACCTAAAACAACTAAACGTCGTACAAAGACTTCGAAACAGTTTTATACGTTTGGCACAAATTCCACACATTCCATTAAGTTTAAATTTCCTATCCAATTGAAACGCTTTGTTTCCCTCACCCTATTTCCTCTTAAGGCACTTTGTTGTCTCCTTATGATTGGTCCAAATTACAAACAGTGTAAGCATGCATACTGACTCCCAGTTTAAATAAAGGAGCTTCCTCGTTTTCTGCTAAAATTTTATTGCAGAATTAGATTTCCACTTCAGTATTTTATTTCACTCTAGTTACCGTGAATAGTCTGACCACAGTCCAAGCATGCTCAGTATGTCAAAACCTTATATGGTATAATTATCTGTATTTAATTACTGCCGTATTCTTGAATTTAATTGGTTCAGAGGTATGTTGTCCTGTAAGTGCCACAGCCAGT